CCCCAAAACCCCAAAACCCCAAAACCCCTAGAATCAAGATTTCAAACAATGTGCTAATTTGAAACTTAATAATAAATATAATGTCAATTTGAGCTAATTATAATTAATTATATGGAGGGTTTAAAGCACATATAAGAAATCATTGAAGGGAACTAGGTCCAAGAGCCTGGATTAAGACTACAGTCTTTGCAATAGAACAATCCAAGCAATGGTCATATAAACCATAATGATGGGTTCTTAATTAGAAAGCATTTGGAGTTAAGAAACGGAAAGGTCAAGAGAATGTCGGCAGACACTGAACAGAAAAATCAGATAGAATACTTTAGATATCATGTATGCTTTTGACTCTAAATTTTTAAATGATTATCTTTGATAGGGAATTAAAGGAATTATTTTATTTACGATTGATACGATATTGAACTATGAGAACTTCTTTGCTATTGTCTACATTATTTTGAATTCAGTTGCGGAGTTGCATGTGGAACTCACAATGTACTATCCTGTGATTGCTTTGATTTTTAACATTGTGATATCTGGGATCCTGAATTTCTTCACTGATTTGAAATTAAGAAGGGCATGTAGAGAGATTAATAATAAGGAGTGCAATAAGTATGTTAATTAAAAGAAACAAAAAAAAGACTTTGAGAAAAGAACTTGGAGCACACTCTAACCCGGAGATATTATAAGGGTTACGGAAAATGAAGAATTCCCGGCTGATGTGTTGATATTAGATGTGATTTCAAAGTCTAATAATCATTAGTGCTTTGTCAGAGGTGGATCAATAAATGAATGTGATAATAACATCATCAAGAGAAGTTGCGAAGGCACTTAAAATAAGACCCCGGGAATTACTATTCCTCCGATGTAATTTGTTGATTAGATATCTGGGCTTTTGAAATATGAATATAATTATAATGGATTTTTCTCAGGAACTTATAAACTATATAATAATCCAGCTGCTTTCCAGCTGACAATGGAAAATGTTGCTCTACGCGGTTCATATTTAGTTTAAACATAGGCTGTTGTTTGCTTAGTATTAAATGTTGGAACATTGTGCATGGGCAGTATTTTTAAAGGAATTGATCGTGACAAGGACCAGTTATTATCTTGGAAAACATTTAAAAATTAGAAAAACTTTGATAAGATATACAAGCCTGTTAGAATTCTAGAATGCTTTATCATTATTTTAGCTGTTGGTTTTTCTATATTTGTCACATTTTGGGTAAAGTATTCAACTAGTTCAAGCAGACATAAATTCTTGGAAAAAATTGTGAGTAATTATAAGAATTCTATGATTGAGACTGAGTCCTAAATACTCTCCAAGGATGTGATAGGCTTTTGCTCTGGATTATTAGTTTGTTTGCCTTTGAGTTATAAGATTATTCTTGATATTATTGTACTCATATAAGCTGATTTTGTTGAATATGATTACAATGTTGCTCCATCTGATTTAAAATTTAACCGTGGAAGTTCAATGAAGGCTCTTGGCAAAATAAGCAATTTATTTATTTCAAAGTCAGCTCTTATGAATCACAATATCAAGAAAGTCAAAATGGTGAAAATAACTGATAGAGTTTATTAAGATTTGGAAAAGGAAGATAAAAATATTTAATAGCCATCATTCGATGCTAATATTAATAATAGAAGTTAAAGTTTTAATAATCCATCAGCTTAAAAAAAGAAAGGAAATAACTAATCTGCATTTTAATCCTACTCTTATCCTTTCAATGTGAATCAGTCTAATAACAAGCGTCCTTAAGATGAAGTTAGCAATGCATCCTTCAATGATAACCAAGGTACACCGACAAATAATTTAAACAGAGACGATGCTGACTAGAATGATACAGATGATGAGTTCTTGCTTCCTAATTAGATTCATTACTAGCCAGCCTTTGTAAACTATTCACTTAATAGCGACTTGAACTCAATTTCAAGAGAGAAATACAAAGAATTCTTTAGAGCTCTAATCATGTGTCATTAAGCTAACAGGAGAAAAGAACCGAGCTAGTATTCTAAGTGTCTATATAGAAGTCTTCAAGCTAATGAGTAAGCTTAGCTTATGTTTGCTCACACATATGGGTTTGAATTTATCAGAAGAAAGAATAAGGTCATAACTATTAATTGTTAAGGCGTCAACGAGAGATATGATGTAAGCCACTTTAAATATGACTTTTACTATAGATTGTTATTTTAGAAACATTCCCTTTAAGAGGCCAAGATGTTACAGTGATTATGATAAAACCTTATATGACCTCTAGCTAAGGAAGCACAGTCTATTTAAGTGGTCCGATTAGTTCTCTCTATGAATATTTAGGATCAAGTGAAGAGGAATAATAAAACTTTCTCAGAGACATGAAGGAATTTTCGTAGTGTGGAGTGCTTCCAATAATTTTTGCAAAGAAAAATCTTGATCATGAGTAAACATTGGAATTTGAGAACAAAATCAGAAGCTTCAGTTCATTTAAGAATCCTGAATTCAATGAAAACACTCATTCTATATCTGGACTTAAGGATATCATACATCAGTGTTTATAGCCATTCATGTTTGAGTTGCAAACTCTTGGCACAATAGGGCTTTAAGAGGTTTTCAATATACGTGATTCTCTTGCAGTTTAAGATTTGATAAACAATGGTATTAAGGTTTGGATGTTATCTAGAGAAGATGAAGCTATTTAGATTATTAATAGCAATGCGATGAAACTTTTGACTGAGGAATCGAATCCCATGGTTATAAATGGATAAAATGAAAAAGAAGTTGAAGACTAAATAAAAAATTGTATAAAAACTATTACAGGAGGCAAAGAATCGTTTTGCAAAAATGAGGTAAAGCCATTACTAAATAAAAACGAAACTAAAAAGAGTCAATCTAATTAAAATCTAAATGATATAACATTCCAACAGTCCAGCAATAAATAATAGAGTAAAAACATTTTAAGTACTCATCGCACCTTGTTAATCAGTGGAGAATCTTTGATTTATATATTCAGAGAGATTTCAGTTTTAAAAAAGTTCTTGACTATAGTTACATTTTCAGATTTAATAATTGGCTCCTCTATCAAGCCTAATCAGAAAACTGATCTTATCAAACATTTAAAGCAATTCACAGCGGATGATACATTTATTATGTCAATTATTGGCTCATCTGAGGACTAAAATCTCATTTTAGATTCAGACGTTTCTGTAGCTCTTAGAATTAAATATTAGCAATCAGATAATCTTATTACCTCCGATATTGTAATGAAGGATCTCTATCCTCTTACTTATCTGATTCTCAAGCATGGTACATTTTGTTTAAGAAGAATTAACAAAACCACTAATCTTTTTCTGTATCGAACCATTTTAATTGCTTTGATTTTTACGATATATATGATAACAAGCAATTTCAGTGCTTCTCTGCCTATAAAAAGGCTAATGCTGATTATATTTTAGACATTAGTCTCAAATGTCTAAATGATTTTGATAGGCATGTCTTACAAAGATGTAGGAAATGATTATTTATATAGAATAACTGGGGAATATCGGAGAAATTATTAAATCTCAGTTTTCACAAAACTAGATCTTATAAAGCAGATAGCAAAAGCCTCATTCGATACTTTGCTATTCTTTCTCATATTCATGTAAAGAGATTATATTTTAACTACATTCTAAGGAAGAATCTACTCAAATGATGGGTTTTAATTATTCTGCGGAATCAACTTGTTCATCATATTTACTTTTGAGTGCACAAATTAAATTGAAATTCCTCATTTGATTCTTACCTGCACAATTATTCTGAATTTCTTTGGAATGATATTCATGCTTGAAGATGAAAACCTTATTGGTGTTCAATAGTATTTCTACAGTCCGAGCGCCTTACTCTATACACTTTTTGTTCTATTGTTCTGTTCTTTGAGAAACTACTTAATAGATACACTAACTAAAACGGATGTCATAAGAAATAATGAAAGCTATAAATTCTACGAAAGTATTGAAGGTATGAAATTTTAATGACTAAATTCCTTTTAGATCTACTGTTCCTTGAAGAATTCGAAGATCCTGACCAAGAGTTCAACTTAGCGCAGTATTAATCAGAATACACACGAATTTAGAAAATAAAATAGTAAAGATAGATGTAAATGGTAAACAGAAATCTAATGAAAATTTAGCGGTCTGACTCAATGGATCTTATCATTGAAAAATTGAATTAGATTTTATCAAACTAGCAACTCAATAAAGTTCAGGATTCAACAATATTAAATTGGCTAAGTTTGAATTTCGTTGATTAAAGTAAAGAGAATGAGTACATAGAGACTAGGCAGAGAGTATTAATTGATAAACAAAGAAAGGTCTTACTTATTATAGTTGCATTTAATCTTTTACAAATGTTTAAAGAGAGTATCCTAAGTTCCCTCGATTATATATCGTTCTATTCCTTTTACTTTTACTTGGGCTATTTACTTGCTGCTCTTATTTTATATGTAGTGACTCTTAAATTCCAACAGTATCTCAGAGCAATTAATTTTCTTTTCTTGGTGGTGCTTTTGATATATTATTGCATTTTCTATTATTACATTGACATGATAGAGTTTAGTCTCTACTTCAACATACTTATGATGGTTTTCACATTTTACGGAGCTTACTTTAGGTCAGCTATTTTCATGGCATTTTCATCCTACATATTGATGAGCATACTTGCGAATTCTTACTTCTAATCATAAGGTGAGAGATACCTAGCAAGTGCTAACTTTGAAACTTCTAGTAATTTGTCCATTATTTGTCTTGTGATATTATGGTTTTTCTTTATAGCATCATGGTCACTATAAATATACTGGGATGAAAAATATGCCAAATTAGACTATTGGTTCTACTATAAAAAAGTTAAGGAATCTCAAAACCTACAATTCATTCTACAAATTTTAATGCCTGCATTTGTTAGAGAAAGAATCAGATAGGGTTAACGATACATAGCAGATGATTAAGTAGATGTGACAATCTGCTTTTGTGACATTTCTGAATTTGATGATATTGTTTCAAAATTAACAGCTAGAGAACTGTGCGAGTGGCTGGATCATATTTATAATGCATTCGATTAGCTTTGTGAAAGAAATGGACTTTAAAAGATAGAGACTGTTGGAAAAACATATATGGCTTGTGGTGGGCTTAAAGAAACCGAGAAAAAATTTGATCAGGCATCTATAAACTAACATCACTCAGAGAGAGTAACTCAATTTGCTTTCAATATTCAAAGATTTATGCTGACATAAAAATTAAAGGACGGTACACCTGTAAGAGTAAAGATAGGAATACATAGTGGCAAGGTAATTTCAGGTGTCGTAGGAGATATAAAACCTTAGTTTTCCCTTGTTGGAGACACTGTAAATAAAACAAGTAGAGTTTGTGGCTAATGCCGATAAGGTAGGATCTTGCTAAGTAAAGAAACAAGAAAACTTATAGACAATGTTTCTAATCAATATTACTATGATCAGATATCTATCTTTTTAAAAGGTATTGGGCAAGAAGATGCATTTTATGTTCATAAAAAAAATAGAGGAAACAATTTTCCAAACCTATTATTAGACAGAAATTAAAAGAAAAAGGATAGATCACGATCAATATAAGCAAATCTAAAATCTGGTTAAGTAAGTAGAAATAAAGTAGCTCCTGCTCAAAATGCAAGAGTTGAGGGAACAGTTTAGGAAGGTAATCCAGAAACCTCTCGATCACTTATCTAAAGTGACGGCGGTAGTCAAAGCTACAATCCCTTTGCTTTATTGAATAGATCAGGTGTGAGTGACGACCTAGCTGAAGAGGATTCTGTATTTCGAGATAATTTCTTCCAAAATGAAGCGAATGAAAGTAAGATTTAAAATGATGAAGAGAAAAATCAAGTCTATAACTTAGTCTAGAGGCCCTCATATCTATTCAATTTCAAAGAAAATAGTGCTCTTCAGATTTAACTTGAGGAGTAATTCAGATTCTAAATGATTTCTACAAATATTGCGAGAAAGTTTATATTTTTCGTGACATTTGCTATAATAAACAAAGTCGAAACTGTGTTTACATATTTACATAATCAACACAATGATTGGAGACTCAAGTTTGTCTTCATCTAACCAGCTGTAATGCTATTATTCGAGATATATCTACTTGTTATTAGATGGAAATTTATAAAGTTAGAGAATTTAAAACTAGTCAATAGATCAATGACAATATACTTCATTTTACACCTTTTAAGTGTAAATATTGTTCTCTATAAAATTGATCATGACTCCAGACTTATCTAAATTTATCTAATAGAAATAATGATTACTTGCTCATATATTTTCTTTTTGGGTTGCTTATAACTTAGATATGCGGTTTTAATTTACTGTCTAAATCTTTGCTTCTGGATATTTGTGAATTGTTCATCTTGGATGTTTTTGACTGTAAAAAGTTACTCTTACTTCTTTGAAATCTTTGCATTTACTTCACAGCATATATTTATTCTCTATTTTTAAGAAATGCAAAGGCGTAAAACTTACAATAACGACAAAATGATTGAGCAAGATTTGATTAAGACTAATAATCTATTGAGTAACTTGGTACCTCCTCCTGTGCTAGAAGGTATCAAGCATGACTAGAAAGTAGTGGATGAACTTGAAGATGTGACCTTATTATTTACAGATATGGTAAAATTTACTGATTTTTGTAGAAATGTGTAAGATCCAAAAGAAGTAGTTCAACTATTATCGTAGTTATTTACAAGATTTGATTTGCTATGCGTCTAAAACCAAGTCTATAAAGTACATACTATAGGAGATTGCTACGTCATAATGGGTTATACAGGACATATTCCATAATCAGAGAGAACTCCACAGATTAAAGCATAGGAAGCATATAGAGTGATCAAGACAGGATTTGATATGATTGATGTCATCTAGGAAGTCAGAGAAACTACTTTAAACAAGGATTTAAAAGAGTTAGATATGAGAATAGGAATCCATACTGGGAAAATAGTAGCTGGTATTATCGGAACTAAGATAGTTAGGTATGACATTTTTGGAGCAGATGTACTAATAGCTAACAAAATGGAGTCAAATGGTCTCCCGGGAGAGGTAGTTATTAGTGAATCAACTAAGGAAATCCTCAGTAGTATGCCTGTTTTTCTTGACTCTTTGGTTTTAAAGCATCATAAGACTGTTAACTTTGAATAGATTAATCGTAAGAACGTAGAATCTTATGTAGTAAGCCCCTTAATTGAAAATCATCAAAATGATTAAGATTAGAGTAGCAGTGGAAGTGATCTAGAAGATGATGATGATGAAATTGAGGAAGAGCCAAATGATCGAAGTGATTTGATATAAAACAGTGTCGCAATGAGTGAAGAATAAGAATTTAATTCAAAACAATAAAGAGTATTACTATAGAATTAGCAAAACCTTGAAGAAATAAAAGAGGAATAATGATGATATTAAACAGAATTATTTGATTACAATTATAAGCTGAATTATATTCTTAATTTCATAACTTAAATTCAAACGTTGAAAGCTATTAATAACCTATTTTTATCAATAAAATAACTATTTCTGAAACAGTGTTAATATGGCTATTTTCAATTCCTAGTTGAATCATTGAATAAATGAGAAGGATTTCCATTCAATTTTTCATTAGTTTGTAATTATATGCAGTAGAATACTTATTACTCGCTCTCGTTACATTTTTTTCAGCACTTCTTTTATACTGCTTTATTTTTATCTCCGGCCCTTTAATTGAATTTTTTCTAGGCGATTCATCAAAGATGTTTGTACTCTCATTATCATCTATTTCTTCATTCGTATCATAGTTTATTGCATATTTCTTAAAATTATTTCTGATCTGATTTGAAATGTTATCTGAATCTGATGACTGGCTTCTATTTAAGTCAGCATTCCCTTAAGACATCATACTTCTTCTTACACTCCGGCTAAATTGTAATTATTAGTTTTTACATTATTCTTACTTCAATATTGTGAGATTTTTTAACTATTTAGATTGATTGGTGCCAAGATAATCAGAATGTATATAAGGGTTATTCATTTGAGGTTTGATCATTTGCACATTGTCAGCTTTGAAACTCACGTGATATTTCTACTTCATTTTCTAAAGTTTGTCAAGTTATCCCCTTGTCATCAGCATTAACTGCTAAGTGATAAAAGATCTATATTTTCTTCTACACAATCCTTAAGAAAAGAAATTCTTAAAGCATGAGTTGCTAAAATATTTCTTAAGATTTAAGAATTTACTAAGAGTAAGGAGAATCTGATCTATTCTGGAAAGTTTACTTGACTTATTCTTATGTTGTAAGATTCTTAGAAAGCAAGCAAATATGATATATTAGTAGTATAGTGATGAATATCATGAACTATATAATTGTAACTTGAATAATTAATAATCCTTACTAAGAACCCTAGAAAGACAACACATACTTATAGTGTATCTTTCAAGGCTATATCATCTAGGAATTTGTAAAAGATAATTGAGAATTATTCATCTTCTTAAATCTGATCTTTAGTCATATCCCAATAATCATAGAGCATATTTACTATGCACAAGCACATAGTTGTGCAAATTAGTATTTCAAGACTTGTGATAAACATGAAAAAGTATCTATATTAGTTATAAATGTAATCAATTGGGAAGGAAGTTAAAGGTAACCAGCATTTTGAGTATTTAAAGATCACTTATACGAAGATTCAACTTACCTATAGTTTCTTAAGCCAATGCAAGTACCAAGCCAAAGGCAATGATGATCAAATCATAGTACACAATTATTACAAGCATTACAATGAGAGACTCTTGGTGGTCTGAATATTTAGCATGTCTCACAAAATTTCAATTTACTAAGAGTAGCTCCTCTGTTGACTTAGTTATAAAAAATTCTAGAGTCTATTCCCTACAACACTTAATATAGAAAGAAGTATAGTTTACATCTACGCTTTTGTATTTAGCTGGGAGTATCCCTCCCCAAAGACGAGCGGGAATAATTCCCGGGTCTGTAACAAATGCTTTTATCATAAAATAGTCAGTTGCTATAAGTAATAGTAATATCATGCAACTCATAATTTATTCTTCTAGTGTTATTTCATTCCAACTCTATGCCAATTTATTCTTGATGGAAATTACTTGAATCTGTAACACTAACAGTGCAATTGAAGGGCCATTTATGAGTATGAATGATACTGTGATGGATAATAAAGATGATCTAAGTGCATAAGGCATTTATATGTAGAATTTTTTACCCACAAACACATCTAGCATTACAGATAACTTTATTACGTCCAATAAACTCCATTATTTTATAATTATTCTCTCAATTTTAATTTGTTTTAAGTAATTTCTAGGGGTTTTGGGGTTTTGGGGTTTTGGGG